TTCCACCTGTTTCAAGTCGGGGCCTTATGGCTTTCATGTTAGCTGAAGTAACACATGTATTAGAACACCGGAGTTCATCTAAGACTAAATTCCTTCAAATAGAGGGAACCTACGGAAGTTTGGAGTTTCACTCGTGCAGGAATTCTTTGGCTGGGTGACGTTTAGTGCTGCGAGGTATTCAAAAGCCAGGGGGAATTTTCAGCTTAGTGCTGGTTTTCCCACATAAGCGTTGGAAGGAAATGCAAATAAAAAGGCGAAAAAATAACAAACTTTTGAGGGGAGGGGTCGTATCGACCTACTTGTAAAGGAATAGGGTTGTAAGGATTCGACCAGAATCTGCAATCAACGATGTGCCCTGATTGTTACTCCTCTATATGAAACGTTCGGTAGCTTCCGGTGTACTGCCATCTTTCAACCTTTGATTTGCAAATTTTTTTGGCTCTTTCGAAAATCGTTCTTTCCTCACCTCAGCTCATGTGAAGTCGTTATATAGACCTGCAGGGCTCGAAATGGAGCGCCGTCCAATGATAGCGAAAAACGGATACTCTCGAGATTACTTCGTTTATGTGAACAATGAGTGACAATCTAAGAACCAAATGGCTAAACGTACATTTGATCACACGAAAGAATGAGATCGGACGGGTCTGAAAGGATGAAATACTAGGAGTTCAGAGCACGTTTGAAAAAAAAATCTGATATTTTCAGAATTCTGAAAGTTGAGGATGTACGGTAGCAAGATAGTAGTGGAATTTTGTTTTGCCATACTCTCCGAGCTCCTATCAGTCGATCTGGACTACTCTGGGACCTACTTCTGTGTTTCCGGGACTATGTTCTGCTCATTGTTAACACCGAAATTTTGCTAGTTAGGTAGTGAATTCTCCAGTTGGGAGGTAACGAAGTATTCTAATGGTTTCGCCCTGAGCTTATCACTTGAGGAGATAGTTCAATGATGGACCTTAATAGTAAATCATGATAAACTACAAATGGGCCTCTGAGTAAAGGAAATGAATGCCCCTGGACCCCTCGGATAACTGGTTCGGGCTTCTGCATTGTCGAGCATCTTTTGTATGAAGTAGTAGTGTAGTAGTAGTAGTACATTGAATGCCATAATACAATTTTTCTTAGCTTATACAAGCTTCAACGTCACTGTGGTGACAAACTATCGTTTTTTTTTCCTTTCCAGGGAACGGTACATTTCGAACCCTTTTAGTTCCAATTTGAAATATCTGCTTTAAAGATTGACATCTATACAGTGCGTAACAAAAGTATGTGGACACCTCAAATTTTTGTTCTGCAAAATTGCCTTTGAATTTCGCGATATGAGACCTTCATTGTTGAATTCCTCATAAGCGAAAACATAGGAATACACTACTTCTGAGCACTTTGTGAACTACTGTACAATTATTTATTGTTTTGAAAAAGTTTCTTAATAACAAAAGTATGTGGACACCTGAGGAAGTCCAAAGTTTGGCTCCAGATCTGCAATCCATTTTTATGGTCTCTAGTCCCCATTAACCTGTACTCATGCCTCGTCGTGGTAGTCCTCTCTACGAAGACGAACAAGCTCGGATTCGAGCTTTCAGTGCTGCAGGACACTCGAATAGAGAAATTGCAAGATAGCTTGGACTTTCGGCGACGTGCGTTGGTATATACCTCCAGAATCCTGATGGCTACCACTCAGTACCTGTTTCGAGGCACCCACGATCTTTGTCCGCAAAACATCAGAAGAATTGCCTCAAACTCCCCGCTTTCTGTGGCACAGATCCATGCCGCGATGAATCTACCGGTCTCAAAAATGACAATATGGCGCTCTATTCGATCAAGTGAGCACATCACTCGAGAGACCATGAAGAAAGCTCCCTGTCTGACTGCCAAGCACCAGCTGGCAAGACTGAACTTTGCGCGTGCAAACATGGCGACGTCGTGGGACAAGGTGCAGTTTCTTGAGATATTTGTAAAATCAGAAAGGCAACATCTTATGCGCATTTCTTTCTTAGGTTATCTTCACTGATAAGAAAAGTCAATCTCGACGGTCCAGATGGATATCAGCATTACTGGAAAGACCTTTGTAGCGATCCGTTGGTGTTCTCGAGACGAAATTTCGGAGGCGCTTGTTTGGTGGGTTGTGGAAGCAGAGAGAAGTAGTAGCTTGCCTTCCCATCGTGCTGTATGAACAGTCAGGAATACCAAGGAGTGCTTGAGTCTAACCTCTTGCCTTTTCTGAGCGGGCCACGACGCAGGACACATGTGATGCAGCAGGAGAACACGCCGTGCATGTTTCAAATTCTACTAGAAAATGGCTCCAACGCAATGGTATCAAAGTGATTGATTGGCCGGCGTGTTCTCCTGACTGCAACCCAACCGAAATCCTGTGGGGGATCATGGTTCGACGAATCTACATGAACAGTCGGCAGTACAACAGCGTGCGAGACTTGAAGGAGGCGGTAGTTGCTGCATGGGAAGAAATCGACGAAGACACCATGACAAATCTTGTCCACAGCATGCCAGACAGAATGTTTGAAGTAACAGTGAACGCTGGAGGAAAAACCAACTTCTATTTCCACGATACATTTGTTTTTTGTTAAGTGTCCACATACTTTTGTTATTAAGAAACTTTTTCAAAACAATAAATAATTGTACAGTAGTTCACAAAGTGCTCAGAAGTAGTGTATTAATACGTTTCGCTTATGAAGAATTCAACAATAAGGTCTCATATCGCAAAATTCAAAGGCAAGTTTGCAAGACAAAAATTTGAGGTGTCCACATACTTTTGTTACGCACTGTAGTTCAAATCACATCCGACATCATATATGGCAACCTTGCTTAATCTTTACTTATTCTGATGTTATCGTGGCCAGGAAGCATCTGTTTGGGCCACTCAAATTACGACCACCGCCTCGTTACCATCCGATCGCTTCGTGCGGTTGCTCATTTAATCAAAACTGACCCCGGTGAATCGAGGTGTGAGTGGAACATCGAGTTCTCCTTCGGGTTCATCCTGGATGTGGAGCCACCTCTGACATCAACTACTGCACTAAATCCATAGTATTGTATGATATCTGGTGTGCTTCAATTTAACTCTGATTTCACTTTAAATTTTTCTCTTTGCAGGGTAATTAAATAATAAATGAAATATTTTAAAGGCAATTCCCGCGACCACACTTCATAGATAATATAGTTCAAGAATAGAGTTGTCCTGTGATTGTTGACTTACCGAAGAGAAGGAACCACGAAAAAGCGCCTGCAATAAGACCCTATTTATTTCAATTGATCATGATCACCGGACGAGCGCAAGGTGGTCAAGATCGATTGTGGATGCGAAAGGCGCGAGGACACTGATAGAGACGAGCAGAGGCCGAAAACGACCGAGCGATGAGGCACAATGGCAATGTCACAACGACACGATCACCAGAGGCCGGCATGGGCCTATCGGGCGCCAATGGGCCTAAAAGCTGAACGCGCCGCGTTTTGCTTGCTGTTTTTCAACTTTTGTAAGCAGCATAGCCTCTGACATTGCCTGCTTGACCGTCGGGCACGGTTATGAGAACCTAGCCTTAGTTTATCGCGGAACGTGCCTTTAATAATTACTTAAGGAGGGATCCAATGTATTCCAACCAGTTTAACCTCCGCCTGTTAAAAAAAATTTTTTTTCACATCAATCATGTTGATTTCACATATACCTACAACTCGAGGGGAATAAGACGGGCGACTTCTTCTTTTCTTTGTTTTCTACTACATACCCGACGACTGGACAATTCCTCACCTATGATGTAGGTAGTAGTTATACTTTTTCTACTACTCCGCTGACATTTTATGTCTGTTCTGTGCCATTTGAGCTCATTTGTGTTGTGTTCTCTTGAGTTGTGTTACGTTTCTGTGGTGTTTTTTGTATTCTTTTCTTTTCTTTCCGTTCTTCTTTTAGTCCCGACCTGATTATGGTATCAAGGAATGTAGCGCACCTAGGAGTGCATATAATAAATAAATAAATAAATAAATAAATAAATAAGTAAATACTATAGGGTCACGCTTACTCTATTCAAACATTATGTAAACATGATAAAACAACTTCGAACATCATTTGTACAGCCAAAGCTTAGAGTTATGCAAATTAGCCGTGGTTGTGTACGGTATTGTCCAATAGCAAGGTGCGGTTGTAACCTCACCTCATATCTCACGACGCCTATTAGAGCTGTTTGCAACTCTCCTACTGCTACATGCTCTCTACACCCAACCCCTTTTGAACGCTGGTGAAACGTTGGCAAACGCCAGATTGATACCTGTACTTCTCTGGCTCTCGAGACACTGGTGAACGCCAGAAGACGCTAGTGAATCGCTGCTGCACGCCGGCAAACGCTGGTGGAAATCAAGTTTGATATCTTGGGGAGTGTATTGCTGCCTAGATCTAGCGCTGCCGGAAGCTGGAAACGCTGCCGAACGCTGGGCGTACGCTGCGCAAAGTATGAACACAGCCTTACTAGTCTTTCCTTGAGCTAGTGATCGTTGTTCACGCGAGATCAGCAACCTCCAGGAGTCTCACGTCTTGCGAGTCCTCATTGTACACTCTTCGTTGGCGCCAACCACTTAGCTCCCTGAGACTGTGCGTGCCACTTGCGCCCGAACTTCAATCACATGTTTTTGGCGAATTTCAACTGTTATGTTGCGAGGAATTCTTCGTCTACTGGTCTGTGATTCTGAACCTAGAGCTGGCACCTGCTCTTTTGCAATTTTTGCATTTGCAATAGGATCCATAGCAATTCATTTGTCTCAAATGAATTGCTATGGATCCTATTGCCCAAATTTTGGGTCTTTTTTGGGATAGCCGTTCAAAGGCATATCTGGAGCAAAGAGTTTAGGTGCATGGAGACTAGCCTTTTCTCTTAATTGGTGCTGTTACCTTTCTTACTGCTCAAAATAAGATAAGATACACACACTGTGGACATATCAGCAATTGTGAACTTGTTGTAAAGATTCAGGGTATCCACATATACGGCACTTCTGTGATGGCTTACTGCAACGGTATATTTAAACGAATGAAGCCGTGGGGTTTCCTTTCGCTATGTGTTTTCTTAGGATTATATGGCATGAACACAGCTCTTCTAGCTCTTCATTTTGTTTATAGATACATTGCTGTTTGTAGGTAGGCATTATATTAATGTAACCGTCTTGGATGCAGCCGGATGTACTGCGTGGAAAAACAAGCTGATAATGATAGCTCTCAAAGGCACGCTCGAAATAGGACGCCTAGCTAGTGGTGTTATATGGAAGGGAACTTGTCAAAGGAATAGCCAGTGACGAGCACATCTGAAAGGGGACCTCGAAGAGCGTCAACCATGGCCCTCTAACCTCAAGCGATTATACGCGAGGAGAGGAAAAAGGGCGCGATTTGTGACGACTCCGAGCCTAGGACCTCCCAAATAGGCTAGCCCCACGACTTCGCAAATAGACTATGATAGATTTCGTTTTATGCTACTTGTCCGGTAGCATTGCTTTCGGCTGGAAAGTAGCTTTCAAGGCTGCTTCTCAGATACTGAGGAAAATGGAGCATCACTAAGGCGCCAGCCTCTTTACTCACAAGGGAAGGCGTCAGGTCGAAGTGGCTATTTGTACTTATGAAGCTCACTAGACGTGGTTTTGGACGCTGATCTCGAATCTGCCTTCGAAATTTGCAGAAGCGATTCTCTGAAAGGAATTATGAAGGTTTGTTAGAATTAAAATGAAGGAAAACGGAGTCGAGCGCGGTTGCCAGCCAATTCGCATGAATAGCGGGAAGCACCCTTACGTTCAACGGCGGCATGGTAATGGTCGTGCTTCGCGGGCATGCCATGGACGGTTCCGAATTTCTGGAAGGGAACTTCTTTTGCATTTTGTGGGGAATGTCTCTTTTGAGTCTAGAAAACACTCAAATGCCAAATGGGTGCCATATTCGTGTTCAGGGAGCAAAACTACCCTTGGGACAGGTTTCTAGCCAGATGTGAGGTTTCACCTAACTTTGAAAAGTGCGGTAGCAGTTGATGGTTGGTTCACTTATGGAATTCAGGTCAAAATGACAGATTTGGCTAGAAACTTGTGTATAAAGGTATTTTGACCCGCTGGACACAAATATGAGAGCGAAAACGCCTGTATCACACGCGACGATCACCTGTACGCCCTAATCTTTTCCTGCACTACAAGTCTCCTACAAGTGGTCCGAGCGCAATAATAAATGAAACCCTGATGGAAATGAAATGGACTTAAGCTTTTCTTCAGGCAAGTTTAGGTGAGCGCTGAAGTAGTAGTGACGGTGAACTGTCAAGTGCTTCTTGCTCACAAGTGACGTTGTCACGTGTGAGCAAGAAGCAAAAAAGTTAAGCTCAGCAGGGATCCGATCCCACGACCTGTTGCGTGGTAAACGCGGTGGAAAAAGCTCCATAACTCCGTTCAGAAATCGTTCTGCAAATTTTGAAGGCAGATTCGAGATCAGCGTCCAAAACCTAGTGAGCTACAACTCATTACAAATAACCACTTCAACCTGACGACCTTCCCCAGTCAGTTTTCCGTCGTGAAGGTGGTGCAAGATGGTCCACCAACATTCCCCACCTGATCTTTTACCTTTTCGTGGGTCATCGCGGACAGCTCTTTCGAAATAAAATCACGCTTTCGCATAAGGTGTTCTTTTCAGAAGGTTTCTGCGAATGTTACCCAACAAATTCAGGCAAAATCTGCTGAATATCTTCCACAACACATCCTGCGAATGTTACTCAACAAATTCAGGCAAAATCTGCTGAATATCTTCCACAACACATCCTCCATAGCCGCTGTGATTATGTCAGTATTTTCGTGGGGTCTGATTTACGGTTTTATAACGTTTTATTGTTTTGCCCCCAATGAGCACTACTACAAATATGCCAACCAATCTGTTTATGAAACGTTTGGAGTAGATCCGCACACTATATCTTTCTTCTGTGTTTTTACTCATGTAAGTTATAAGCAGTTGTTCTCGAATGGAATGAACATCACAAGGAGACCATAATTCTCAGGAAAAGAAAGAAGGTGCGACAATAATTCACTGGCCATCAACCATTGGGCTATGTATTGTCTTGG